CTATTCTTTCTCCAGCTCCTTTAGGTGTAGGGTTAGGTTGTGTATTTGAGACCTTTCTTGTTTCTTGAGAAAGGCTTGTATTGCTATATACTTTCCTCTTAGGACTGCCTTTGCTGCATCCCAAAGATTTTGAACACTTGTGTTTTCATTTTCATTTGTTTCCATGAATTTTTTTAATTCTTCTTTAATTTCCTGGTTGACCCATTCATTCTTTAATGGGATGCTCTTTAGCCTCCATGTATTTGAGTTCTTTCCAACTTTACTCTTGTGATTGAGTTCTAGTTTCAAAGCATTGTGGTCTGAAAATATGCAGGGTATGATCCCAATTTTTTGGTAACAGTTGAGACCTGATTTGTGACCTAGAATGTGATCTATTCTGGAGAATGTTCCATGGGCAGTAGAGAAGAATGTGTATTCTGTTGCTTTGGGATGAATGTTCTGAATATATCTATAAAGTCCATTTGGTCCAGTGTGTCATTTAAAGTCTTTATTTCCTTGTTGATCTTTTGCTTAGATGATCTGTCCATTTTAGTGAGGGGGGTGTTAGAGTCCCCCACTATTAATTGTATTGTTGTTGATGTGTTTCTTTGCTTTTGTTATTAATTGGCTTATACAATTGGCTGCTCCCATGTTAGGGGCATAGATATTTACAATTGTTAGATCTTCTTGTTGGATAGACCCTTTACATATGATATGGTGTCCTTCCTCATCTCTTATTATAGTCTTTGGTTTAAAATCTAATTTGTCTGCTATAAGGATTGCCACCCCAGCTTTCTTTTGGTGTCCATTAGCATGGTAAATGGTTTTCCACCCCCTGACTTTCAATCTGGGGGTGTCTTTGGGTCTAAAATGAGTCTCTTGCAGATAGCATATCGATGGGTCTTGTTTTTAACCCAGTCTGATAGCCTTTGTCTTTTGATTGGGGCATTTAGCCCATTTACATTCAGGGTAACTATTGAAAGATATGAATTTAGTGCCTTTGTATTGCCTGTCAGGTGACTCTTACTGTATACTGTCTGTGTTCCTTTCTGGTCTGTGTTGCTTTTAGGCTCTCTCTTTGCTTAGAGGACCCCTTTCAATATTTCTTGTAGGGCTGGTTTTGTGTTTGCAAATTCCTTTAGTTTTTGTTTGTCCTGGAAGCTTTTTATCTCTCCTTCAGTGACAGCCTAGCTGGTTATAGTATTCTTGGCTGCATATTTCTCTCATTTAGTGCTCTGAATATATCCTGCCAGTCCTTTCTGGCCTGCCAGGTCTCTGTGGATAGGTCTGTTACCAATCTAATGTTTCTACCATTGTAGGTTACAGATCTCTTGTCCTGAGTTGCTTTCAGAATTTTCTCTTTGTCTCTGAGACTCGTAAGTGTTACTATTTAGATCTCAGGGTGTTGACCTATTTTTATTGATTTTGAGGGGGGTTTTCTGTGCCTCCTGGGTTTTGGTGTCTGTTTCCTTCCCCAAATTAGGGAAGCTCTCTGCTATAATTTGCTCCAATATACCTTCTACCCCCTCTCTCTTTCTTCTTCTTCTGGGATCCCAATTATTCTAATATTGTTTCATCTTATGGTATCGTTTATCTCTCGAATTCTGCCCTCATGATCCAGTAGTTGTTTATCTCTCTTTTTCTCAGCTTTTTTATTTTCCATCATTTGGTCTTCTATATCACTAATTCTCTCTTCTGCCTCATTTATCCTAGCAGTTAGAGCCTCCATTTTTGATTGCACCTCATTAATAGCCTTTTTGATTTCAACTTGGTTAGATTTTAGTTCTTTTACTTCCCTAGAGAGCGTTTCTCTAATATCTTCCATGCTTTTTTCAAGCCCAGCTAGTATCTTTAAAATCGTCATTCTGAACTCTAGTTCTGACATCTTACTAATGTCCGTATTGATTAGGTCCCTGGCAGTCGGTACTGCCTCTTGTTCTTTTTTTTGAGGTGATTTTTTCCATCTTGTCATTTTGTCCAGAGGACAATAGATGAATGAGAGAACAAGATGCTAATGGGGTAACAATGACCCCAGAAAAATATACACTAAACAACTCAGACCTCAAACCGGGGGAAAAGAAAAGGAAAGAAAGAAAAAAAGGAAAAAAAAGAAAAAGGAAGAGATTAAGAAAAATATAATATGATCAAATATGATCAGGCTGGTGCATAGATCAGTGCCACACACTAGATTTTGGGCATATTTTCGTCTGTTTGAAGAAAGTGCCTCCCAAAATTTTAAAGAAAGGAAAACTTACATATATACAAGAAGAGGAAAAAAAGGGAGAGAATGTGATCAGGCAGGAGACTAGAACAAAGCCATGCACTAGAGATTTAGGGTATATTTTGGTTTGTTAGAAGAAACTGTATCCCAAAATTTTAAAGAGAGAACAACTTACATATATACCAAAATAAGGTTAACTACTATGAAGGGATAGAATATGATTCTAAAAATGAAAACTAAAAAAGATTTTTGAAAAAGGGAAAAAGAAAAATTCAAAAGAAAAAAAAAGGAAATTAAAAAAATTAACTTTGAAAGATTAAAGAATCAGGGGGGAAAAGCCATGAATTCTACGTGCAGTATTCCCCTAGTGCTGGCGTTTTTCTGTTCTCATTGATCCATAAGCTTGGTCTTGGCGGCTGTTCTTGCTGATCTTCTGGGGGAGGGGCATGTTGCCGTGGTCCCCAAATGTCTTTGCCGGAGGCGGAATTGCCCCACCCTTGCCCGGTCTGGGCTAAGTAATCTGCTCGGGTTTGCTCTCGGGAGCTTTTGTTCCCTGCAGGCTTTCCGTACAGCTTTGGAGGACGAGAGTGAAAATGGCGGCCTCCCAATCTCCACGCTGGAGGAGCCGAGAACTCGGGGCCCGCTCTTCAGTGCACCCCCAGAGAAAAGCAGTCACTCCCGTCTCCCCCATCTCCAGCTGCACTCCGTGCTCACCCAGCCTGTGACCAAGCATTTCTATCTCTGGCACACGACCCCGTGTGGAGTCTCCAAACCCAGCAGATCCCTGCGGTGTGTTCCCGCGCTGCTCCTCCCGGGGGAGGAAGGGGAGTCTCCCTGGATCTGCCGCTTGTTGGGTCCCTGCTGGAGGAGCAGTGGCCCGACTATGCCATGGGTCACTGGCAACCCTGAGCTGAGAGCCCGCGCCTCAGCTCCATCTCTGCAGCCGGCTTCCCGGCTCCGATACCTGGGAGCTCTGCCGCACTCAGGCACCCCGGTCTTACTGTGACCCCGAGGGTCCTGAGATCACACTGTCCCACGAGGGTTCTACCCCCCGCTTAGCCACTGGAGCGATGTCCCTCAGTGGAGCTGACTTCTAAAAGTTCCAATTTTGTGCTCCGCGGCTCTATCACTTGCCGCTAGTGGCTGACGGAGGCCCCCTCCCCCGCCGTCTGTCCTCCCGAATATCGCCTTGGATTCACTTCTCTGCACGTCCTACCTTCCAGAAAGTGGTCGCTTTTCTGTTCGGAGAGTTGTTGCTATTCTTTTCTTCGAGCTCCTGTTGAGTTCGTAGGTGTTCAGAATGGTTTGATCCCTACCTAGCTGAATTCCTGGGACGGACAAAATTTATGTCTCCTACTCCTCCGCCATCTTGCTCCTCCAATATAGTGTATTTTAATAGAAAGCTATAGTATTGTTCTCATATTTTCTTTTAAATGCCCTTACAGAATCTAAACTCATGTCATTTTCTATTGTTAGATTCTTCTCTGTTGTAAAATACCTCCCCACCTCTAAACAAGTACAGGCTTACCCTGCTATCTGAAAGTAGAGTGTTCCTATGAGACCTTTTGTAAGTCTGAATGGTGTAAAGCAAAGAAATAATTACTATTAACTTATATGGAAGATTTTTTAAGCATTCCCAGACTCAAAAAATAACCTCTTTTAGGCTTTTTGCTAACAGATACACAAAATCAATCAAAATACAGCACAGATGCCCCAGACACGGTTCAAAGCTGTGGTGGCTTGATGCTGAGATGTTGAGTATAGGTCCTGGGGAAGGAGTGTGAGTGTAGGTCCTGGGGAAGGAGCATGGTGGGGCACCTTTAGCTGCCCAGGGCGAGTGCTGGCTCTGTAACCGTTCAGTGCAAAACAAACCCTGAATGCTCTTTTCACTTTTTGTCGTTTTTTTGTAAAAGTGAAAGTCTTTGGATTTCTTTTGGTTAATGAAAACAGGTTCTAGTGTAGGTCTTTTGTAAAGATAAAGTGGTGTAATGCAAATTTTTGAAAAGCAGGAGTACCTGTATTGAGAATGTTTTCAATTTATTCATTTTAAAGTTGGGGGGGAGAGGTCAGTTATAACTTTTAAACAGAATTGATTATAGAGTAGATTAAACACTTTTGAGTTTCTTTAAATTATTTCTTCCTCATTTACTGAGGGATTCATTTGGGGAATACCTTTTTAGTTGTAAAGCCTTCCACAATAAATTGCTGCATTTAATAGGTATTAGTGTTTGTGAATTGAATTGTCAGTACAACTTGGGATACACTCATGGTGATGTTTCCAAACCTGTTTTTAATATCATGAAATCATTCCTAGCACAATGTGGGTTTTCATTTTTCAAAATTAAAATAAATTGTTTATACTAATATGTAAACTGAATAATTTATATATGAGAATAAGGAAGTTATTTGTCCTGAAGATGACTGTGGACATGACAAAGAAGTTGATAATGAATGAAGCAAATGTGAATGAAACAAATCTCTTTGATTACACTTGATTGTGTAGTAGCTTTTTTTTATTACTATTTTCAAGTAATACTGCCTATCACATGCATTCATGACTAGCATTTTTATTGCTAACTAATGTGAATTATTGGCATTGCTTTAAATTAATTAAAAGTGTTTTCTACTATTGAAAAACTTCTATGTTTAGATAAGAATTGAAAAATATTTGAAAATATACCCATGAGAAGTGGACTGATTTTTGAAAAAATTCTAAAATCTTACTTTATTGCATATCTGAAATGGAATTTGATGAATTTTTTTGAAAAGTTTTCAAATATATGATGATTTTCCTCCTCAGAAAAAGATGTTAACAGAACAGATCGAACAAACAAGTTTTATGAAGGCCAAGATAATCCAGGGTTGATTTTGCTTCATGATATTTTGATGACCTATTGTATGTATGATTTTGACTTAGGTAAGTTCTCTTCTAATATCCTAATTTTAAAAGATTTATATATATTTATTTTAGAATTTAAATTTATTAACCTGTTAGGCATACGTAACAGCTCTGTGGGCTAGTTTCTATAGGGATTGTTCTATTGGACTGGAAACTTGGAAGGCTGTGATTCCCCGATTGCACTGAAGAGCACTGGGTTGCCACAGCATACTTGTGGGGCAATGTGGGTTATTTTAAATTTTTGAGAAAAGATAGTGACATCTGTAAGGATACTGCTCTAAGTCCTCGCTGAAGTAGTTCAGAGTTTCAACATTAGATCTCCAAATTCCTCCTGATGAAGTTATAGTTTTGCAAAGCAGGGCTTTTGGCTTTGTCGTGATAAGCAAGTACTGTGTGAAAATAGATGAGGGACAGGAAATGAGGATGGTGGTATCCAGTTGGATTCCAAAATTTGAGAAGTAGTGCAGTGCCCAACATGTGCTACGTTCATAGGACATAAATAGTTGCTAAATTGTTTGGATCTAAGTACTTAATAAATGGAAATGTTAGTTTATTTCTTTGAGCCTAGGGGTGCCTTAGAAAAAATTACTAAGACATTATGGAGTCTGAACTGAGAAAGTTTGGGAAACTTTGTTTTAAATGCTTTCCTCCCTTGTGAAGGAAAATACTGATATGATGATATCTTGGACAAGCCATGCAGATAAATATTATCTAGGCCATGTAGAACTTTACTCTTTTTTCTTGGTAAGTGTGTTTCCTACCAAAATGGGATAGCAAGACGGGCTGGTAGGGGCAGTAGTGGATTGCATGAAGATTTAAGGGGTAGAAAATATAAGGAATTAATATTTTAAGGGGTAAGGGAACTCAAGCTGTTTCTTTAAAGGAAATTCTCTATGCATCAGCCTTTAAGTAAGTATAAGGAATGGAAAAGTTTCTGAGTTATCTACTATGTGAGTGATTCCCAAGTAGAGAATAATGGAAATAGGTGTTTTCCAGATTATTTTAATAGAGCTTGAGACAGCTTTTGGAGAAGGTAATTGGATATTTAGCATATTAAACCTAAATGAACCTTGAATTATGGTACATTTTCCTCACCATTTGTATCTTTGTGAATTCCTCCTCTTTTATATGTTAGGGGGAAGATATAAACTCTTTTGTGGATCTTGAGGCATCAGCCTCTTTGGTGACAGTAAATTGAAAACCACAGATCTCTCTTTAAAATGTAAAATTTAGCCAGTCCTATCTATCACACCTCAAATTGGATCATTGAAAATAGGTTAGGGGCATCTGGGTAGCTCAGTCATTAAGCGTCGGCTCAGGTCATGGTCCCAGGGTCCTGGGATTGAGCCCTGCATTGGGCTCCCTGCCCTGCGGGAAGCCTGCTTCTCCCTCTCCCACTCCCCCTGCTTGTGTTCCCTCTCTTGCTGTCTCTTTCTCTGTCAAATAAATAAATAAAATCTTAAAAAAAAAAAAAAGAAAAAGAAAACAGGTTAAAGCGCTGTCATACTTGATTTTGACTCATTACTAATAGAAGTGACGAAGTGGGGAAATAATCCCAATTTTATGAGTGAGGTTTTATTGTTTTAGAGAGTGACTCAAGGTTGCACAAGTAGTAAATATTGGACTGGGGTAGAGACCCAGGTCTTTATTTCAGGCTGGCATTTTTACCTCTACACATCCGCCACGCTGACCCATTGCCATTTTACTACAGGGACTAGGACCATTGTCTTAGGGAACAAGAGGCATTGTCTTGTACTCTCAGGTGATAATTTTGAGATAGGAATTCATGCATATTTTTTGGAGTTCCTAAATGCTAGTTTTTTCAGGGCATAGTCCCAGACCGCTAACTGGGTAAATTGCTATCTTCATTTGTCCATATTAATCCCTCATTCTTTCTAGTCAAATACTTAGGTTATCTGAAACATAAGCCAAGGTTCCTGAACTCTGGCCTTGTGAGGAGCCAAGGTAGTTTTCATAAAGCAGTGCACCACATTTCTTGTCTTTTACCATGGCAAAGTAACCTGGGCTGTAAATTTACTCTTGTAGGTAATTCTATATCATATTGAGTTGTTTGGCTTCATAGCCCATATAGATGAGGTATAGGTATATTTACATTGAATACAATCTCATTAATAGTGAGGAAGGCGACAGAAATTACCAAAAGCAGAAAGAAGAACTCAAGGAACAATAATTTTTAGTTAGTGCAAAGACTTTACACTTAGGATGTTTCTATGGGAGGTAATCTTTTTAAGTGGTGTATGTACATAATAATGATCCTAAATAACCAATAAAACATTAAATTATACTCAAAATACTGTATGTAAGAAGGCAGAGAGTGTCTAATTTAAAAAAAAATGATATCCAACTCCTAAGATTACTATTTTTTATTTGATACTCTAAGGGCTAAGCTTCAGTTAACCTGGAAATTGACCTAGATGTAGGTGAAATTTTTCTTTTCGGTGGAAGAAAGTGTACACTAGGATGATAAGGAGTTCATTTCTCATACCTCCCCCCTGAAACAAACTTGCTATGAAAATAATTTTAGGGAACTACTTGAGAAATTGTAGTAGTGCTGATTAAGATGTGCATCAGTCAGCACTGCTGCAGGATCTTAGTGTCACCGAATGCTAATTTAAACAGCTTTAATCTTTCTTTAATTAAAAGGAATTTGTACATTAATTCCACCCCCACAATTCATGACATACCCCAAAGAACATCATGTATAAAATAAGATTAAAAGCAACTAGAGTATGAAGATTAATTTGACTTACTTCAGCTAAGACTTGTATAAGAAATATGGTAGTGATCCTATGTGAAAGCTGAAGACTTAAATAATTAAATTAGTTTCTTAGAAATTTTTATTCATTATAACTTTACAATAAAGCACTTTTTTTCCAGACGAAAGGTGCTTTGTAAATCTTTTGAATAGCACACTTTGAAATATTTTTATTATAGACTATATGCAGTCAGACCCTGTAAAGTAGTACTCGTTTGCAGTTTGTTGAATTCAGATCAAATTTCTTTCATGCTTTATATTTGTCATTGCTTTCACTGTGTTAGTGTCATGTAGAAAAGTGCTGGTAACAATTTAGTCTTCCTTCCAACCTATTTATTCTTTTTTTAAGGATTTTATTTATATATTTGAGAGAGAGAGAGAGAGTGAGACAGATCACAGAGGGAGAGGGAGAAGCCGACTCCCCGCTGAGCAGGGAGCCCAATGTGAGGCTCCATCCTAGGACCCTGAGATCATGACCTGAGCTGAAGGCAGACACTTAACTGACTGAGCCACCCAGGCGCCCCTATTCTTTTCTTAAAAGTGTTTTTTATTAGTCAGTGTTCTCCAGGGGAACAGAACCATTAAGGTTATGTATGTTTATATATTTTTATTTCTGTTTATATATATATTTTATATATTTTAACATGGATACACAGAGAAAGAAAAAGATTCTTTTAAGGTGTTGGCTCACGCGTTTATGGAGACTGAGAATGAGAAGTCTCACAATCTGTTGTCTCCAAGTTGGAGACCCAGGAAAGCCTGAGAGCAGGAGAGCCAGTGGTGTAGATGCCAGTTCAGGTCTGTAGGCATGAGAACCATGAGCTCTAAAGGCAGAAGAAGATCAGTGTCTTGGTTCAGAAAGCCAGGCAGAGAGCACATTCAACCTTCCTCCATCTTTTTATTCTGTTCAAGCCCTCCATGGACTGGGTGGTGCCCAGTCTGGGGAGAGCCATCTACTTTCATCAGTTTATCAATTCAAATGCTAATCTCTTCTAGAAACACCTTCAGGCCACTCACAGAAATAATGCTTTATCAGGCTTTGAGCATCCTGAGGCCTACTCAAGTTGACAAATAAAACTAATCATCACAAGTATGCATGGTTTTTAAAAAAGTCTGTTTGTAGAAATATTACATTTAGATATCATGTCATATGCCATTTTTTTCTGGCACTTGTCTCCAAATGTTATCCCTGGTACTGTAATAATTGGATACCCACCATGGCAACCCAAATGTTCTTTCGTGTTAATGTGAGTAGAGCCATACTTTTCCACAGGGTGTCATGTAGACATAGGTTGATAGGAACACAGCAGTAGATGATGGGGCAGAGGCTCAGAACAGATAGAGAGAAACTTTTATTTGTAGGGAGATCCTGAGGTGATCTGAATTGTCTCTGTGTTATACCTCTAATCTGAGGTTTCTCAAGAGACTGACCTACATGCTTTCTGAGGTCATTTGTTAAAGTTTAAAGTTTTATTCCAAAATAGGAAGAGAGATGTAGAATCGTGGTTTTCAGAGGCATATCATTTCTAGCAGAAATATCCTCTTCCCCTTTAAAATATATACTCTTTTAATGGCTTCAGTGCACATTGATTTTTGTGAATGATAAGAATGTAAGCTTTGGACTTACACATGAAAGACTGTATTTTCCATGACTTCAAGCTACCTTGGAAAAAAAAAAAAAAAAAACTTCTATGTAACTTTAACACATGTATAAAAGTTACCAAAGTTGAGTGATAATATGTATGCAAGAAGGCATAGTTTGAACTTTTGTCCCTTTGTTCATTCAAAAATGTTTGTCTTAAATCTGAAATCAGTTGTTAAACAGTTAAGAAAATTGAGTTTCATAAGGTGGAACTAAAAAATAAGAAGCTTGACATATTCAGGTGGAAAGCAAAACCAATACTTTTTGTTTAAGTGAGGGGCCTGATTCTTTAACTTTCTGGTTTTTCTTTTTAATCATAGGCTATAATTGTCATGACTGAGAAATTATAGCAGCATCAAGAGAAAAGTGGTTAGAGTGGTATTTTCAGTTAAAGAGTATTAATTGGATTAAACCCAGTTGCTAGCATTAGTTGTGCATAGAGTAACAAGAAAAGAGAGGCAAGAAGAACATAGATAGTACTTAAAAGAAGTACATAATTTTGTTATGACTTCTTTTGGTTTAGATTACCAATGATCTGGTGGCTAAAGCAGTTGGACCCTTTTTCATTCTTATTTTATTTGGCTTGTTCATGGCAGTTAGGTGCTGTTGGCTGCTTGGGTCCTGAAATTTTTTTCCCCTTGACTTTTATGACAATTTTCTCCCTTGATTTTTTCCCCCCCTTCTTACTTCTGACTACTCCTTCTCAAATGTCCTTTGAGTATATACTCTTACCTTTGATGTTCCTCTGGGTTTTCTTTTTATCCCTCCTCTTTATCATAAAAATTTTGCATATTATTTTTTAAAAATACTACCCTCTCTTGGTAATGATATCTACACTAAGACACATTATAGCAGCTGTCTATCTGCTTGACATTTCAGTCTAAAACAATTCCTTTTTTTACTGATTGTTAGACTTCCTCCTCGTTTATTTTCTTTTCTTGGTAAACGTCATTATCTACCAGTTTCTGAAAGCAAAGAAAAGATGAAATTTTAAGTGAAATCGTGGTGATATGCACAGACAGATACATAAAGCTTAGGTTTTCAGAGACATGATTTTTTTTTTTTTTTCCTATTCTTAGGGTATGTTCAGGGAATGAGTGACTTACTTTCCCCTCTTTTATATGTGATGGAAAATGAAGTGGATGCCTTTTGGTGCTTTGCCTCCTATATGGACCAAATGGTAAGAACAGGGGCTCCTTCCTTTAATCAAACTAATTTTGAAAATTTTAGTTGTATCATCTTATAAGATTGGTGTTTGTATTTAGACAATTATGGTGGAACTTAAAATTGCTCCATGTTGTTTGTTTGTTTCTTTTTTAAATAGCCTTTTCAAGGGGCTTGAAAATATGGACATTATTTTTAATACAAAATGTAGATAGTAAGTGCCTGTGGCACAGGAATAATCAGGATTTAATATCAGTAAATGCTTGTGTTCTGCAGAAGAGCTGTGAGTCATAGAATATTGATGGAATAGATGAATTCAGTGCTTATGAAGTAGTTGAACTTTCATATCTTCTTTGGAGATAAAGCTTAGTCATGCCAAGTAATATCCTTACTTTTTGTGAACATTTTGGATTTTGTCATTATAGTAACTGATTTTTCTTCTGAATCTGTTTGAACTATTTGTAACAGTGACACTTTCTTAGTAATTCATTGTTATTTTCTCAGTAGCATGTGATTATTAGAGTTGAACTATGTTTATATATACATATTATTACAAAGAACATTTTATCTATTGATAATAGCTTGGAGACAGAATTCTGGGACAATAGCACAGAGTATTAACAGAGGAACAAAATAGAATAGTCTTCTCAAGTAATCTGTTAGAAAGAAAAAAACAGCAGAGGGCTAAGAGTAGATAAAGGCATATGAAATCCAAAGACCTGAATACATAGGTCACTGTACTGTTTCAGAGAAAAACTAATATACTTGATGCTGGACTTTGATGTTGGGTATTCACTGCAAGGGGATAAAGATTTTGAATATGTAATCATATGCAACGTTTCCCTGTAATACAGGGTTTAATTCATTTTCTGGGATATAAATGTGGAGTTTAGAAGAAGTACCCTTCTCTTTTTTCCATACTTCTGTTCTTCCCCTCTTGCTTGCCAATTTTTCTTTTCCCCCCTAGTTTTTCCCACTTTTATCTATTTCTTCAAGTCTCTTATATCCATGGTTCCAACTCCTCCTCACTTCTACTTCTTTTCCAAATGCATATTTGATAAGATTTGATAAGTTTAAAAATATCTTTTACTGTTAATAAGTATTCAGAGTACATAGTCATGAACATGAATTAATGTTTTAGATTATTTGGAAAGATTATTAATTGCAGTAATCTGCTAATATCATAGTTTGTCTTCCTTACCTTTTGATTGATTGATTTTACCTGCCTTCTTAGTTCCAATTATTCCCAAGTGCTCTAGAAACCTGAGGCATTTGTTATAAAGGTCTGTACAACTGATACTAATTGTATAAAAACTGTTGTCTGCCTTTCTTGTGTTTTTGTTGTTTATCCTCTTTTCACTAGAGCTAGTATGTTCCTTGATAGGTCATGTCTTTGTTTAACTAGTTTTCTGGTGTGCTTCCAGAATTTTCCTAATGCCAACATGAGGTTTTTGTGCAACAGATTTTTGTAGAATAAACACATGAATATTTCCCCAGTGCTTAGTTTAGACCTTTACTTATAGTAAGTATTCCAAAAAAATTAACATGAACATACTGCATTTAGATTTTTACAATAATAACTTTCATAAAATTGAGCCAGTATTGGCATGTTCAAAAAATTGGCTTATGATGCCATGTACGTACACCTACATGCATATGTACATACATACTTGTGCATGTATTTAGGTCTCATATGTAAAGACTTTTCTGAACATTTGTAATATACACTTTACAGTCTGTTTGTCATTTTTGTGTATGAAGGTTCAAATTCTTTCTTCTTTTTCATCGTAAATGTTCTCTGTGTTTGCCTTTTCCATTGAGGACAGTCTGGGGATTTTTCTAGTCTTTATTCTAAAAAAATCTCAATATATTGTCTACTCACATTTTTTTTCGATTTGAATAAAAGGGCAATATTTTGCAATCAAAATAATCTGCATGATTATTTTTTACTGCATTGCTATTGGCTTGGTGTCCTTTAATCTATACTGCTATTTGACTCCTTTTTGTTTCACAGCTTTATTTCATGTAAGTTTTTATTTCTTTTGTGATGACTGAATCTAATGTCCATAGATTTAGTTTTTTTATATTTACTCATATCTAATGTAGGTGTAGGCATAGGCTATGTGTCTATTACAGAAATATTATGGAACGATTAGCAAAATGATCTACTGAACTTTCTTATACCCACTATTCATTTCACCATGTAATTTAGTTCTTCCCTTCCTTCTCCTCACCTCCCTCCCCCATATATGTGTGTGTGTGTATATACATATATATGCATGTGTATATATACACAGATATTAAGATAGATATATACATATATGTATATATCTCTATATATACATATATATGTGTTACATGCACACATACGTATGTATTTGTATGCACACATGTATTTATTTTACAAATACAGTTGAAGCCATTTGTATATCCATTGTTGATCTCATTTTCCCCTCTCCCAGAGTAGCTACTTTTCCAAAGTAGCTGTCATTTTGGGATTGCTTCTTTTTATATAGCAGATCGTGCCATGTTGGTACTCCCAAACCAACTCTAACCTTTGGCTGTCATAATAAAAATGATGGTGTTAATCAAAGAGTTGATTCTGTCTTTCCCTTACAGGTCTATGTGGTAAATGTGAAGAAACAATATCCCAAAGGCTTGTGTCAGTCTAGTAAACTAGTTCTTTAAGGCATAAAGGAGAAATCAGGTTTTTTTAAAGATTTGTTTATTTATTTTAGAGAGAGAGTGTGCAGGGGGAGGGGCAGAGGGAGAGGGAAAGCAAATCTCAAGCATACGCCCTGCTGTGCAGGGCTGGATCCCATGACCCTGAGACCATGACCTGAGCCGAAATCAAGAGTCAGATGCTTAATCGACTAAGCCACCCAGGCGCCCCAAGAAATCAGTTATTTGAGAATCAGTAGCTTTAAAAGTGTTATTTTACTTTATTTTTACCAAGAATGATGCTTTGTCTCCAAAACTTAAATAGAAGTTTGAGGGAAGAGATGTTGTCTTTAGGCTTTTTATAAGCATTAGCACAGTAGGTTACCATAGAGGGGTTGGGGCCCATGGATAAAAGGGATTGGAATGATCTAAGGAGACTTTACATTATTTTGGTCTCCCCACCCATCTCACAACCCTTGACTAAAGTTTTGGTAGGGAGTCTGCTCAACTTTGCAGAGTATTTAAAATTATATAAACCATAGCAGTTGTCATACTTTGTGATCTCAGGACCCCTTCACACTCTTAGATATTGAGGACTCTGAGAACATTTGTTTATGTAGGTTATATCTTTTGATGTTTATCTATATGAAAAATTAATACTGAGAAGTGTATGAACATTTATTAGTTATTTAAAAATAACAATAAACCTTTTATACTTTAATATACATAATACTATCTTTTAATGAAAAGTAACTTTTCCAAAACAGAAACAATTTACTGAGAAGAGGGATTGTTTTCCATTTTCCATTTTCTTTGATGTCTAGTTTAATGGAAGACAGCTGGATTTTCATATCTGCCCCTGTATTCAGTCTGCTGCGATAGCACTCCTCATACAGCCTTCACCATTGTGGGAGAATTTAAAGTGCAAAATGCATATAGTATTTTAGAATTGTCATGAAAATGGTTTTGACTTCATAGATTCCCTAATGTCATCAAATTTAAGAAATAATTAAAATTAGTTCTTCAAAATAAGATATATGTTACAGCTAAAATTTATTTTATATGACAATTTGGAGAAATATTTAACAATGGAAGTGATTTAGTAAAAGTTTATTGCCCAGATGTGTGTTTCTTTCACCAACTTCCTTATTTCATGTAAGAAATCAGTGTATCAGTCTATAGCTCTGCATTCTTAAGTGAAATGAATAGAGGAAAAAAATAATCCTTAGTTTGAGACCAAGGATTCTCTTTCCCTCCTTTTTAATGTTGCTTTAGCTTTTTAATTTAATTTGTTGTGATTTTTAAGAATATAACCAGTGTGGTATAAGTCCAGCATTTGTCCTTAAACTCATGGTTTGGTTATCAGTGATTTTGTAATGTAAAATATTTATTAAGTATTATTTATGTGGTGACATTTATTTCCCTTTAAAGCATCAAAATTTTGAAGAACAAATGCAAGGTATGAAGACCCAGCTAATTCAACTAAGTACCTTACTTCGATTGTTGGATAGTGGATTTTGCAGTTACTTAGGTAAGTTTAGTGAATCAAATTATATACCCAACAGAGGTGCCTGGGTGGCTCAGTCGTTGAGCGTCTGCCTTCGGCTCAGGTCATGATCCCAGGGTCCTGGGATCGAGCCCCGCATCGGGCTCCCTGCTCAGCGGGAAGCCTGCTTCTCCCTCTCCCACTCCCCCTGCTTGTGTTCCCTCTCTCGCTGTGTCTCTCTCTCTCTCTCAAATAAATAAATAAAATCTTTAAAAAAAAAAATTATATACCCAACAAATTGTAGGGTAATATATACAGAGAGAAAAAATGTAAAGAACTGTCTTAAAGATACATATACCCTTATCACTATTGCCTGAGTTCCTTTGAGGAATGAAAGTGTGGGACGAAACTTTCTTTGTATAATGCCTTAAGACAGTTTATTCATAAAATGAATTATTTGTTGTTTTTTTATGGTTTTCTTTTAAACAAATTTGAATTGTTTCCTTGAATTAGTAGAAGGCAATTAAATTTCTAGGACTTCTAGTAGCTTAAGCTGCATGGAAAAATTTGAGTTTGAAATAGGTTACTGTATTCTGAGATAATTAGCATAAGAGTAAGCCATATATATGTTTTTTTTTTTTTTCCATTTTGTATAGAATCTCAGGACTCTGGATACCTTTATTTTTGCTTCAGATGGCTTTTAATTAGATTTAAAAGGGAATTTAGTTTTCTAGATATTCTTCGATTATGGGAGGTAAGTTCTTAAATTATTATACAAATGTAATATTTATTATGGAAAGAAACACTTTATTCTGTAGAGTATAAATGGATTATAATAGCCTAACTGAAATTTCTAAAGCATGTATGTTATGAAATTCTGATGGTTTTATGGTCTTTACTTAATGATCTTGAATATTTGGTCTTTGGAGCATTTTTTATAAATCTCAATCCTCATGTGATTTGGGGCCACTGGGTTTCCTAGAACCACTTTTCTAGATGATTCATAATTGTTTTCTTTCCTTGGGAGGCTTGACTTTATGTGAGGCTCTTCCACATTCTGGTATAGATTTGTATAGAGTTCAAGGAAGTTTTGACACACAGTCAGGTGAGATGGCACTTTGTAGTCTGAAGTATTGGGAGGGAGCTGATTTGTGTTTTGCTTTTTTAAAGACCTTTAAGGCAGAGAAAAAGACTAAGAATAATACAGCAAACATCTTGTGAATATATAACCATTTAATTAGTTTCTGATATTTTGCTTGTTTGCACCAACAATGTTGCAATGAACATCATATTTAACACTAAGGCAAGTATCTTAATATTCCAATTTTCATGTATACCTCTGAATATGTCCTTAGAATAAACTTCTAGATACCTCTGAATCAAAGACTAGTCAGTTTTTAAGTCTGTTGATAGATTTTGCCAAATTACTCCCAAGAAGAGGTGAGAGATGATTATTTTTCAGAATGGGCACACCAAAGATAGGAAAGGCCACATTTAATCACTTGTAGTCAGCTTGGACTCTGACCTGATTACCTTAGCTAATTACTTGGGGTTGAGGAGATGGAACATAATTGTGGATTAAAAAACAAACAAACATCCCACCATCCATATTTAACATATGTAAACATTTTGCCATATTTACTTCTAGTTTTTCTTTTTTCCAAGAAAAAGAATTAAAGATATATCTCCACCCCAAGTCCCATTTCCCTGTCCCCAGCTCTAGAGGATATTCATGAATGTATATCCTTTTATTCATTTTGGACCCAGGGTAACTTGATTAAAGCAGAAAATTACTGTTTTCTTCTAAAATATGTTAATTGTTAAGTTAACAGATCAGTATGCTTTTAAAAGAAAATGTTGGTGTAATTGCTGATTGCTACCTTATCTTTATAAAGGCAAGGGGTTACAGAAATTCTCCCAAGGAAGGAAGGGGGGAATAATCCATTTGGATAATAAATAGACATATATAGTGGAACCCATGTGTCCTCTGAGGCTTTTACAGCTGGAAATTGGTTCCTACACTTCTGGTGACCATGTTACCATTAGGGAAGGTGATGTGCTAATTGAAGGATCATTGCTTTTTGTGGGATGATTTCTTCTGTTTGAAATTAGAAGTAAAACTCATATGTTCTTGAGCTGGAATCCTATTTCATTTAATGTGATTATTTTTGGGGGTCATTATAAAATTTAATCTTAGTGGTTTAATAATTAAGCAAAAAAGCACAATAATTATCACATCCTGATTTTCCATTAAATATGTTGCTGACAACATTGTATTTTTTTAAAAGAATTTATTTATTTATAAATTGGAGTATAGTTGACATATAGTATTATTAGTTTGATGTACAACATAGTGCTTCAGCATTTATATACATCATGAAATGCTCTCCATGTAGTTACCGTCTATCACCATACAAAGTTATGACAATACTATTTACCACATTCCCTGTGTTGTATTTTACATGCCCATGACTTGTTTATTTTATAACTGGGATTTTGTACCTCTTAATCCCCTTCAGTTTTGCCCACCTTCCCATCTCCCTTTGACAACCACCATTTTGTTCTCTGTATGGAATCACAGTTTAAAGTTTATCAGTTTGGTTGAATAAGTATCTCAACTTCTTTTTTAAAGGATGAATTGAGAATATTATTACTGTATAGCTAGAATAATCCTCAATCTGTTTACCAAATAAATTGAACTTCTAATGAAAATTTTGAGCTTAATTACATTATAATTAAAAATTGGATTTAGTCTGAAAATTATTCAATTTGATTTACTCTTGATGAAAGAAGTAAAAACATTTCAGGTGTGCTTTAATAGTATTGTTTATGTGGGTCTTTTTCGCTTTCCAGATAAGATATATATATTTTTAAAGATTTTATTAAAGATTTTCCAGATAAGATATTGTTATGTACATTATTATTTGAGGTCATTAACTTTATTTAAGAAGTGCAGCTATTGATCAGATGTTTTATACATTTGGATATAAATTTTGGGTAGTTGATTCAGTTTTTGTCACAATCAGGGGTACTCTGTGTTATGTAATATAATGTAGAGCTATCTCTGGGTAGTTTTGATCCCATGCACTATTAACTGAATTTTTTTTTTCTTTTATATCCACGATTTAGCTTTTTTTTTTAAATTTCTCCAGAGATTGAAGGTGATTTAAAAGTGAGAAACTGAAAGGTCAGGAAAATACTGAAAATGCCTCTAACTTATACCTTAAACTCATGGTTGTAAGCTTCTTAATTAATATCATTTATCATATAAATTAGGCTCAGTGATTTGCTCATTGTAGTTACCTAAAGGGCCACATTTGGAATTCATCATATTCACATAATGTTAAACTAGATATTAGTTACTATGTAGGTAAAGGTAAGACTTCTCCACTCCTCATTTCCTAACTAGAAAAACAGTGGTCTACCCTACCCCATCTAGACAACTTCTGCTTTGCATAGAAGTCATTCAGAGTTCAGCATTGTTTCTGTGAGGAAAATATTTTAGAATTGATATAGTTTACTAAATAGTTCTATTTTTTATAGGTAATGTGGACTGAACTGCCATGTAAAAATTTCCATCTTCTTCTCTGTTGTGCTATTCTGGAATCAGAAAAGCAGCAAATAATGGAAAAGCATTATGGCTTTAATGAAATACTAAAGGTAGTTATTCCTTTAATTTAGATTTTAATATTTTGGCTCTTTCCTTCGTTTGGTGGTACCAATACACAAAACATTTCCTTGGAGCTTTATTGAGTCCCTTGAATAAAACTTAAATTGTATTAATAACACTTAATACTAAACTGACTCTGAGAATGACAGTTCAATGACTACATACTGGCCAGTTATTTTTACCTGGCTAATTAGGAAGAAAAGGAAATTCAGCAAATGCTCTTTTATGTAGTTTAGTTTTCTAAAAAAAATAATTGCCTTTTGCTTATAACTTTGAGATAGTAGACTTGGGACAGATGCTGGATTTAATGTTCCATAAGCTTATTAGTTATTCTTTAACTTTAAAACTGAAAGATATATTGAATTTCCTGCTTATTTGTAGTATGTGAATACTTTTAAGGATTTTATCTGCAGTGAAATATAACTGGTAATAAATTGTTTATATAGTAGAATATAATAGTGCTTTTAGTTTCAATTATCATTTTATTTTATGGATTCATTTTAGCATATCAATGAATTGTCCATGAAAATTGATGTGGAAGATGTACTATGCAAGGCAGAAGCAATTTCTCTACAGATGGTAAAATGCAAGGTATACAGTGTTTTAAATAATTGTAAGATTTTTTATTTGTATGCATTTGGTGGGTTGAGGTCAAGAAAGAATTTTTCTTCGTAGAAGTAAGATAAATGGCAATTTTAGCAAGTTGAAGGCAGGCACCAAGCATTAGCTAGGATTTTGTTTACCATTATGGATCTTATAGCACTTAATTGAAAACAGTCAATTAATTACACTAGATAAGAAACGTAGGACAGCAAAATGGCAAAAATAATGAAAACGTCTCTGCAACAACTAACAAGGCTGTAGAATTTAAGTATTGATGTATTATCCAGTCTGAATAGAGCCTAGGATCTTATGTTAAATACAGATGCTAATCAGAAATAATTAAATGAATAGTATTTAGTCTGTGTCTTTACAACTGAATCAGTCAGGCTCTTAGTTCTTTCTAAAAACAAGGCAAATTTGATGTATTATGATCTGAATTCAAACCAAATCATTCTTCTGATGTATTTTATGAGAGTTCCTATTTGGTCTTTGTGTCATTTGTTCATGGTTCCAAAAACTTATTTTGGTTCACTTCTACAAACATTTATTTGATAGCTATTCTGTTCAAAATATGTCAGACACTTCTTTCTTAAAGGAACCTTGTGCATTAAGGGAGAAAGATGCTGTAAATAAGATCTCATTTAATACCTAAGATTCTATAATAACAGGTAGAATGAAATAAACGCTAAATATTAGAAAACGTATGTTTGGGGTGCCTGGGTGGCTCAGACAGTTAAGCGTCTGCCTTCGGCTCAGGTCATGATCCCAGGGTCCTGGGATTGAACCCTGCATCGGACTCCCTGCTTAGTGGGAAGCCTGTTTCTCCCTCTCCCACTCCCCCTGCTTGTGTTCCCTCTCTCACTGTGTCTATCTGTCAAATAAATAAATAAAATCTTAAAGAAAGAAAAGAAGGAAAGAAGAAAGGGAGGGAGGGGAGGGGGGAAGGAAGGAAGGAAAGAAAAAGAAGAGAGAAAGGAAAGAAAGAAAACTTAACATTTGTGGGAGTGGTAGGGTGGGGTGGAGAATGACTAATTTAGAATAGAAGATCATGGAACTGCTTATGAAAAAAGTGGTTAGGATTTCATTTGGAGTGGAGAAGGAAGGTGTGAGAAGATATACATAACAATCACACTGTTAGAGTAAATGTTCAGATTCTGGAATCAATGTAGTCTTAAGTAGAAGTGTTATTTTGTGATTACTTTTCCTGTATAGTGAAGGATGGTTTTGTGTTTAATTTTGCATATTCAGGAATTGCCACAAGCAGTTTGTGAGATCCTGGGACTTCAGGACAGTGAAGTTACAACACCAGATTCAGACACGGGTGAAGATGAAAATGTTGGCATGACTAGTTGTCCTACATCTACATTTCAGAGTGACTCCTTGCCTGTACTTGCTACCAGTGGAGCCAGAGATGACGACCCAACACAGATATCAGTGTCCCCAAATGTTAGCAGATTAACACCTGCATGATCATTCTTCTTGCTTAATTTTTGAAGAGACACTTTGTTGCAACCTTTTTCAAGTACTTGAAAGGTGGAAATTTAAAATCTTGGTATTGATCATGCTTTAAGGTTTATGGAAAGAAAGTGTACTGATGTTCTTGCATTAAAGCTTTACAAAGATTTAAACTAATTATTTTTGTAGTTACTTCTACCAAATAGCCTTTCCTTTTCAATAACATTCCTTAGTATTTTTATAGCCAAGTACATTTTATTTTCTTGCTGATGAACTGGAATTGGATAAATATTACAAGTGGAAGAGTTGGAAATTATGCACTTTGAAAAACATTCACTTTGTTTACTCTAAGTTTAGTGGGTTTTGGATTTGATTAAATTAAATGTTGGGCCTTTCTATAGCATGCTAAGCTGAGAAGTAGATTGTGTTACCCAAGTGATGAGATAAAAAAATTTGTTTTTCTCTATTGTTTACAACAATACTCAGCTTAAATATTTATGCTGGTTGAATGTGATTTAAATTGGGTATTTCATCAATGCAATTTAATGTGTAGATAAAAAGAGCTATTTCAACCATAATAAGTGGATTGGCAGTATATTTTTTACATTGAAGTTTTCTTCACTTGTATATAAAAACTATATAAGTACTTATTTATGAGTATAAGAAAGGATAGGCATATTTTCTTTAACTGAATAAACTTGACTATTGATTTATATAACCTGACTTGACAAAAGTAATACATAGCTTCAATATGAGATCTTTTTCAAAACTATTTTCTTAACCAAACATTTATTTCATGGGACTACATTCAACCCTGTAACTGGTGTAATTTTAAAATTAATTGCTTGTAATCTCACTTTACTAATAATGTGTTTATTATCTTTCCTAATAATGCATTAACTGATTAATCAGGTCTTTAAATTTTTATAAAATGCTCTTTGCAAAAAGCTTATGTCAAAAATTTCAATATACTATCACGAGTCTCAAAGTAATACTTTTTTGTATATGAATGAAGCTGTTTTTACCATGCAGTGTTGCATGATTTTAAGTTATGTGGAATTAACCTAACTGATTCCGTTTTAATTGTAATTTGTTAACTCCTGTACATATCATTAAAATAAATTTGAAGTTGAAGTAGTGCTTTCAGTTAAATTACACTTAGAAATAGTCTGCTAGTTCTTCATTGGAAGAAAAAAATCCAAGATGGCCCCCAGCACATTTTCTATTTTCATGTGATTGAAACAATCATTGGAATCGGAGGGGTAGACGAACCATGAGAGACTATGGACTCTGAAAAACAAACTGAGGGTTCTAGAGGGGAGGGGAGTGGGAGGATGGGTTAGCCTGGTGTGGGTATTGAGGAGGGCACGTTCTGCATGGAGCACTGGGTGTTATGCACAAACAATGAATCATGGAACACTACATCTAAAACTAATGATGTAATGTATGGGGATTAACATAACAATAAAAAAATTTAAAAAAAACCAGTCACTGGAATGAGTTATGGACATGAGAAAGAAACATGACCTTTTATAACCGAAAACAAATTTTCATCAGCACGGACTTGGGCATAGTGTTGTCTTGGAGGATATAATTGTCTGACTTGGGAAAGCAACTTCTACAATTGATGTTAATAATGTAAAATAAAAGCTATGCAGTTCTGAAATGGTCCAGGAGATAGATTTTTTTTCCCTTCAAAAAACTAGGGAACTAAATGAACTTTTTTCCTACTTGAGTATTAACTGACAATCATGACAGTAGAACCATTACATTTTAGTTTTTAATATCACATGTGTGTTATCTTTCATCAGTTAATAATGAGTAAGCCTATTTAGACAAAAAAAGTAAACTGATCAGACACTCAGCATCTCCAGCCTTTCATTTCCTGCTGTTCAGGAAATTGCTTAGAACATCTTGATGTCCTTCTTGTTGTTCCTGGACAGGGGCTTTGGGGGAGTTTTTTTCCCCCCACTATGTAATATCATATCTACTTCAGAGTTTAAAAAATCTTAACACATTTAGTAACTTGAACTTTTGTCAAGTTTTATTATAAAACTACTTGTTAAGACATACTGAAGAGCCTGAATTTCTATCTAGCTTATTTTTGATGGGGAAGTAATACTACAGCATAGTGCTAGATAAAGTCCTAACGAGAGTCTACAAGATCCAGTTAGCAAATGCTATATAAACTTGAGCTATTGAGATCGCTAAAATAGTTCAGGTAAATTGGTTAGTCTAACTTAAAGATTTGTTTATTTCAGTTTTCACAAGATGTTGTTTGTACCCTGATAACATGTAAAATATGTGCTATATTATGTGATATTTAATGTTAAAATTTAAGAAATTCCTAATTTAACTGTAAAAAGTATTTTCATTTCATATATGAGAGTCTGGGAAGCCTTTTTGCATTTAAGAACATCCCTATTTTGAATGTCTCATATGCGTAGGATTCTTCATCTCTTTGTATGTTAGGAACTTTAGTCTTGGTGATGACTAGAGCTTTTTTAAGTTAGGAAAAGAGCATTTTGGGATACTTAGTTATTCTTGCTGAACCTGACATTTCCAAGGATTTTTATGGATGCCGACTAATTCTTATGGGAAATTCATATAATTATGTCCATCATTAAAGGTAGTTTGTATAAAGTAACCCAAAATGTTTATTGAAGAACTTAGAACTTCACCTGACTTGTGTGTCACTGTGTAACCAGGTAACGTCCATCTAGCTTGGATTTCTTTACTTTCAGAAGATGTATGAGCCTCTTACTATATTTGAAGTTTTGTGTACGTATTTCTGGGGACAGGTTACATAGTTTCTCTAATTTTCTCCAAGCATCCAGGTGGTTCCTGAGCCTCCCTGAAGTTAGAGAACTGCCGTTATATATTGTATTTCATAGGGTAACATTTTGACTTATGGTCAGGTAGACAAGTCCCTGAGTTTTAAAAAAGTAGTTTCTTGATTTTCTAAGGTGGATTTACCCTATTTGGGCCACCATTTTTAGTATAAAGTCTTGACAGTTGTCATGGCCTATTTTATGTAGACTTCCTTCTGCATTGTACATTTTGAAGATAAACTTCCAGTGTTACTTTATTTCTAAACATGAAACAGGATTAAATTTAAAATGAATCTGAAAGGTTTCCATCAGAATCTAGTGTCATTACCTGATACCAAACATGTGTACTTATCTATACTTTTAATGTGAATACACTGCCATTTGAATAATACAATGTATGCGGCCTCTTCTCCTCTTGGGTTCTTATAATATGGGGATTTTAACTTGTAGATTTTTGAGTATTGTTCTGATTACAAATATTTTTCTCACTGTCTTGTAAATAGAGCCCTGTTTTTTAGGTTATCCATCTTGCCATAGGGAAAAACATTGTGTTGCTCTTAGAGGCAAAGGTGGATGAGATAGGGCAATTAGACTGGACATACTTCTATAACTCTTTTTAGATATCCAAAACACTTTTAGCCCATGGAAAATATTACACTGTTTACAAATTCACTGTAAAGAAAAGTTGATTATAATCAGAATCTCTTTTTCTAACAACTATCCAGAATCAGAGATACCATATTTGCCTAAATTAAGAATTGGAATGTTAGAATAATAGGGAGCCAGCTATTATTCCTTCTCAAATATCTGTATGGTATATTGCTTCTTATATATCTATGTGCGAAAGAAGACAGAATGACAAGAACATTCCAATAAGCTTAGCTGTGATCAATGAGCAGTCCATTTGTGGTTCAGCTTTTTTTAATTAAGAAGACTTACTAGCCTCAGAGATGGGCTTTTGCTGTGACAGACACCGCACTAGCCTGATTGGGGGTATAAGACCCAATGGGTTAGTAGACTGCTTTAAAAACACAAATAGGGCTGTTTGTAGATTGCTTTAGATGTTGTATGGCCTGATTGCACAAGGGACTAGAATCTCTTCCATGAGTGTCACAGGCTCACTTTGTAAAGCAAATTGCTCTCCACTGGAGAAGCCATCAAGGTACTTCTGGGTGCTTAGCAATTACACTGCATGCTGCTGTCACTGTTGGGCACAACTATGCAGGATGCACCCAAAGGAAATTTGGGCCACATGCTTTTTGTTTGTTAGCTGAGTCAAGTGTTAAATGAGCCAAATGGAGTATTTGCTGACTAGGAAGTCATTAGCAGTTAACAGCATCTAACCCAAATAGACAATGTGAAGACCAAATTGTTAAGTTTTCTGAGTGAAATTGTTTAAGTACTTTTACTTTTTATACTCTCAGTATTAAGACATGCTATTATAAACACATGGATGCTCCTATACCCTCTCCTTCCCAAAAAAAGGAAAAAATTGGAGGTACATTCTTTTGCACCTATCAGGGTGTAAAGAAGTTAAGTCTAAAAACTGAATTTTGTTAAATTGCTCAATTTAAATTCAACTTCTGAATAACTTTGGGACAAATCCATATTCTCTTTTTGTTTACAGAGCTTTTAAGGATTCTATATAAAGGCTAATGGACTTCCCAAAGGAGGGGAAACCCAGTCTTAATGGTTTTCTCTAGCTTCCTTCACGTCCTGTTACCTGGTTTTCCAAATTAGCCTTTAAACTTTGTGTTTAGTATGACTCGTGCCAAAGTTTTACTGACGGGTGAGGATAGAGGGGAACAGAATCCTTTCCCTAGACATTTCATACCTAAGAAGGGTGACAAAAGAAACCCTAGCTTCATAAACTACAACTTACAGAATGGGTGGGTTAGCCTTGGCATAGGCGCATCTTAAGAAATAATGCCTGAGCTGATGGCCAGCAGATTGAATGCAGGTGATGGGATCTTGGGGCCATCACAGTCTCAGCAGGATCCTTTCCCTAATCCTTTGGTCCTAACAGGACTACAGTGGACTCATACCAGACATGAGAACCTAGTCCCCTTCTCTTTTTAAAGAACTTGTGGAAAAGGAGAGTTGTTTTTTTAAGTTCATTTTATTTTATTTACTTTTTAAATCACTTTATTTCATCATGATGAGTGTACTCTTTAATCCCCATCACTTATTTCCCCCATCTCCCCTCCACCTCCCTCCTGGTAACCATCAGTTTGTTCTCTGTAGTTAAGAGTCTGTTTCTTGGTTTGCCTCTCTTTTTTTTAACCTTTGCTCCTTTTTTTTTTTTTCATTTAAAAAAATTTAAATTCAATTAACATATAATGTATTATTGGTTTCAGAGGTAGAGGTCAGTGATTCATCTGTCTTCTGTAAAACCCAGTGCTCATTACATCACATGCCCTCCTTAATGTCCATCACCCAGTGACCCCATCCTCCCCAGCTCCCTCCCCTCCAGCAACCCTCAGTTTGTTTCCTAAGATTAAGAGTCTCTTATGGTTTGTCTCCCTCTCTGGTTTCATCTTGTTTTATTTTTTCCTCTCTTCCCCTATGATCCTCTGTTTTGTTTCTTAAATTCCGCATATGAGTGAGATCATATGATAATTGTCTTTCTCTGATTGACTTATTTCACTCAGCATAATACCCTCTAGTTCCATCCACGTTGTTGCAAATGGCAAGATTTCATTTTTTTGATGGCTGACTAGTATTCCATTTTGTTTTGTTTCTTAAATTCCACATACGAGTGAGATCATATGGTATTTGTCTTTCTCTGACTTACTTTGCTTAGCATTATACTCTAGCTCCATCCATGTTGTTGCAAATGGTAAGATTTCATTCTTTTTATGACTGAGTAATATTCTATTGAATATATATGCCATGTCTTCTCTTTTAAAGATTTATTTCTTTATTTTAGAGAGAGAGAGACAGAGAGCAAGCGAGTGCAAAGCAGACTCCCCGAAGAGTGGGAAGCTGGATGCCGGGCAGGATCCCAGGATGATGAAATCATAACCTGAGCCAAAATCAAGAGTTGGACGTGCTTAACTGACTGAGCCACCCAGGCGCCCCTATACCATATCATCTTATTCATTCATCAGTTGATGGACACTTGGGCTGCTTCCATATTTTGGCTATTGTAAATAATGCTGCAATAAATGTAGGGGTGCATGTATCCTTTTAAATTAGTGTTTTTGTATTTTTTGGGTAAATGCCCAGTAGTGTTATTACTGGATCATAGGGGGAAAAGGAGATTCTTTACCACAGAAATTCCTGTTTCTTTTGGTCACTCTCTAAATTCGATTTTGTAATGCTTTTCACATGCCTGGGTTGCTGAGATTTCCATATCCCTCTTCAACTCTATTTCAGAATTAGACATAAAAAGGAAAGTTTAGAAGAGTGGGAGTTTATTCTGTGAGAGCTCAAGTAATTGTGAGCATTTCTTAACATTCAAGGCTTTAAATCATTTTGAGTTGATTTTTGTTTATTGTGTGAGATCGTGGTTCAGTTTCGTCCTTTTGCATGTGGATGAGTATTTCATGTGGTAGCTTCACAGTAGAGTGAATCCATGAGAATCCTGGCCCTGATCTACGGGGTCCCTTTTATTTTAATCTCTTATCTAAGTTTCCCAAGTTTATCTTAAGGGCTCTCACATTGTCTGAGAGCATCACCATGGATTTTAAATATATTACATGCTGTTCTTTGTTAAACTTGCTTTTAAAAACCTTAGGAGTTTGCATGCCTTATTTTTCTTGTTATTTATCACCTATTCAAAGTTTCTTAGTTGTAATTTAGAGTTACATGCCTATGTAAAGACAAAGCATGAATTGATAGGTGGTACTTCTGGACAAATAGTACAGCTTGCTTGAGGCATTTGTTTCTTCGAGTTTAAGGTGGCTTAGAGTAGGATGTGGATGCTTTCATCACCTCCTGCTTTATAAGGTTCATGATGCGGACATAGGGTTTATCCTATAAGCTCTGGGAGTCAGATGTCAGAAAAAAATTCAGTCAAACTGATTGAATTGTTCATACTAGAAAATGTCCACTGTCCTTAGGAATATGAAACAGAAAAGTTAAACTATCTGGGTAAGAGCACAGGTTTTGGGGTCAGGTAGTCATGGATTTGAGACCTGGCTCAGATGCTTCCTAGTTTTGCGATCATAACTGTTCTCTCCGAGCCCTCTGTTTCTCATCTGTAGGTGAAGATAATACCCCAGTTGTGAGGAGTAAATGGAAGACATACACAGTGTTTAATATGGTGACTGGCATGATTAAGCATTGATAAATGCTATCATTGTTTTCTGATGGCAACCAAATAGATATTGCCACAGGCTGTCTTTTTTAATCTTATAGCTCTGTGGTTTATTTCCCCAAAACATACCTTCCTACAGGAATAGCCTTGGGGCACCATATGGTTTGTTTCCCACTGACTGAGGTCATGTTGAGTTTAAATCTTGAACTATGTATTTCAGTTTCATCTGAGCCCCTGCCTCACTGACTCCACAATAAAGCACTGTCCCCTTTGTGCTTCAGTTCTATCCTCTTGTTCAAATTGTGCTCAAATGTGCTTGTCTTTTATCAATCTCCCTTTATGAAAGTTGTTATAAAAACAATGAGAACACCAGTGTACCATATTTCTCATATTTTTCTTATTAATGAAGTCTAATCATTCTCAAGCCAACCGTCAATATAGCAAATACAGTAATCATAAAAATGAAAAACGATCACAAGGCCTGTCTGCACTACGCATTTTTAGTAGTATGGGAAATGATGGTGTCTATTTGACAGTGAACATTTTATCAGGGAACAAATTGATGCCTGAGGTGGTGGACTGCTGTTTTAGGTTATTTTTCAGCATTAGGTCCGTTCAGTTGGACTGATACCAAATTGTCTGTCCTTTGTAATTTAATTTTAGATTATATTGTTTAGATACCTGGTGGGTTGAGACAACCTCCTAGAAAAGTTTAAGTAGAGCTTTATCTTTGTTTATACTTTTTTCCCCTTAAAATGATAGTTTTTGTGGTATTTAGGGGTACCCAAATGTATTTAGGGGTACCCAAAATGTATTTATTCATTTGCATTGTGTTATGAACACCTTCATCTGTTGTAATATGAGTTGAAGTGGTGGAGGCCACTTGTGTGGTATTGTTTGGGATTTTTCTTCATGTGAGCACAAGTGCATCACTCACGTTGACTATCATGATATCAATTTTATGAAGACTCAAAAGTTAGAGTGGGGTTTTGTAAGGTTTCAGTTGAACCTATGACTTTTTTTTTTTCATACTGCTGACTTATTTTTTTTTTAATCCTTTTGTAGAAATTTAAAGTACCAGATAGATGGCTCTTTCATGCTATGTATATAATGTTGGTTTGTGAATACCTTGAAAAGAAAATGGTGTTGTGTAGGAGCCTGGTTGAGCTTCCTAAAACTTAGTCATGACAAGCTTATCATTTCATTTCCTTTTATTGATAAATTACTACTAAAGTAAACTTTTGTTGTGTTGTGTAGGGGCCTGGTTGAGCTTCCTAAAACTTAGTCATGGCAAGCTTATCATTTCATTTCCTTTTATTGATAAATTACTACTAAACTAAACTTTTATTGTGTTGTGTAGGGGCCTGGTTGAGCTTCCTAAAACTTAGTCATGGCAAGCTTATCATTTCATTTCCTTTTATTGATAAATTACTACTAAACTACTAAAGGAACTCCCTTAGAGATGGTATAAATTTATGTTGGCATGGTACTCATACGGTTCAGTTGGAGGAACTAGGAGGGCATAGTAGTGACAGGGAATAATTCCTGCCATGGAGCCTAAAGTTTGCCCTGTAAGCTCTAAGAGTCAAAAGTCAGTGGGAACAAAATCCAACCTAACTGGTTATGAGGTTGGTTTTGCACGATAAAGTTCAGCCTTTTCTTTTTCTTTATTCAACAAGAATTTAAGCATAAAAGGCATACATCATACGACATAAACTTGTGACATAAACTTGATAGGCTGGAATGATGGCTTAAAACCCAAACAAGTTATTTAAGGGAAAGAGATCAGACTTTTGTTGATTCCCAATTTGGAAATAGTCACTAATTCTCTTTCAATTATCTCCATACTCTCCCATTCCCTTTCTTTTTTTTTAAGATTTTAGTTGAGAGAGAGAGCACGAGTGGGGCTAGGGGCAGAGAGAGAGGGAGAAGCAGATTCCCCACTGAACAGGGAGCCCGATGCGGGGCTCAATCCCAGGACCCCGGGATCATGACCTGAGCTGAAGGCAGACGCTTAACAGACTAAGCCACCCAGGTGCCCCTCTCCCATTCCATTTCTGTTATTTAATAACTTCATACCTGCTTTCTCTATTCACCCTGGAGAGTGGCCAGGAGAATTCTTTCTTACTTTCACTTTATTTTTATCATTTCCCCCAAACATACTTCTTTGTCTAAAGCTTATCTTTCTCTTGATGTCATTGTATTCCTGGCTGGCTTTTTATTTGGCCAGAGTGATGGGGGTGAATGGTGAGGAAGTCCTCAGGTTGTCTCTCATCTTTTGCCTACAAAATGGAAGTATGTGTGTATGTGTAGTGGGGAAGTTGATAGAGTGGGAAGGTTGGTCTTCCAATTGTGGACCATATATAGTCCTTGGTTCCCTTAGTCTATATCACCTTTTCCATATCTTCGTCCTGAGAGTCAAAAGCCTCCCAGGACCCACTTCTATTTTCAGGTGATTAAAGGATGGCTTATATTATTTTTCTCTTGTTTTCACAACTGTCCTCAATGAGGACAAATACCTATGTTCAGGACTCATTGATGTCCTTAACATAGAACTTCACTGACTTTGTAGACCCTGTCTCATCTCCCAACTTTTTACTTGCATGACCATTCATGATTGCATGGCCCTCTTCACTTTTGTAAGGTCTTGTATTTGGAGGTCTTCTCTGACAGTATCTCATTTTATACATTCCCACTTCATTTTCCACTTTCTGACTTGCGGGCTCTTTAACTGCTTGGTCCAAACCAATTCTGTTGGCTCATCTTATGACTGTTGGCTGCCTGCTTATTGTGACTATAAGGACAGCTGTCTCATGAAAACCTAGGTGTCCACATCTCTTTAATTTCTGCCAAAGATTCCAAACCAGTGCCCAAGGTTATATCACTCTGGTTTCAGAATCAATGAGGGACAGGGAAGAAATAACTAATACTTTGAGCATCTAATATCTGTCAGACATTGTGATAAGCACTGTAAACACATCCAATTTAATTGACATAACAGCCCTGTAAAATGTAAATATCAATCACCCTGTATGACAGAAATGGAGGCTGAGAAACATGAGGTAACATGTCCTCAAATACGGCTAGGTAAGTGGCCAAACTAAGATTTAAACCCAAGTTTATCCAAAACCAATGTCCTATTTTGATGCAATATAATTTATTTTTTGATGCAGTAAAATTTATTCTTTTTTTTTTTTAAAGATTTTATTTATTTATTTGACACAGAGAGAGACACAGCGAGAGAAGGAACACAAGCAGGGGGAGTGGGAGAGGGAGAAGGAGGCTTCCTGCCAGAAAGGGAGCCCGATGATGCGGGGCTCGATCCCAGGACCCTGGGATCATGACCTGAGCCGAAGGCAGACGCTTAACCACTGAGCCACCCAGGCGCCCAGTAAAATTTATTCTTAAAATTTTTTATTTTTGTAACCAATGTCACACATGCACATGGTTTTCACAGGATGGTTGTTATGAGAAACTTGTTCCTCCAGTCTCCAGTTCCTCTTCCCCGGTGGCAAGATTTTCAGCTTTCAGCTGATTCTTTTGTATTCACTTCTGTATCTCTTGTAATGTGCTGTAATATGCTTGTGTTGCTACTACTTTAATTCTCAGTTTTAGGCATTATCCACTGGCTCCCCATCTTGGAAGATGTGAATTTATCCCCCCTTTCCCCTCCCCTCAGCACCCAATGTATACACGCAAACTTCTTTATTTTTCCACCTTCCGATACAGTTGATAGCATAATATTGATTAGGTTAAAGCAATTAGCTGAGGCAATTTAGCCCCAACTTTCATTTTCCCTTGGGAGCTAATTCCTTTAAAAAACAAAAACAAAACAAAACAAAAACACAAAAACTTAATTCTAGTATGGTTAACATACAGTGGGGGGCTAATTTTTTTTTTTTTTTTTAGATTTTATTTATTTATTTGACAGAG